GAAATAACAGAAGCCAGGTTCAAACAACAGGTGAGAAAGACACAGACAGGGAAAGAGTTAGAGGTCGCCACTCAGGCTAAAAGCCACGCACTCCTTGGAACTGACAAGAAAACTGTACAGAGTAGCAAATAAATTACAATTCGTCATAACAGACTGATTGTCCATCACTTAAAGCGCCCGACATTCCCGATTTCTTTCGAAGTTTGGAGTCCTGCAGCCGCTACGCGTTTAGTCCTTCCCTTTTTCACCGGCCTCCCCCTCTTTATTTTGTGCACTTCCCCCCCCTCCCTCACAAAGAACATACAAAACAAAATAAACAGCACCTTTGCTCTCCTAGGCTACCCACCCCCACCCCACAACCCATTCCCACAGTGCTTTTGGAATTGTTCAATATTGCACAGGTCAGGGGTGTTAATCCGGTGAGCTTTTCGAACAAGGAAGAGAAGAAGAGGGCAGCAGGTAAAACAATTCACCTTTCAGCAATATCTCAGAGGGAAGGAAGGAAGGAAGGGAGGGAGGGAGGAAGGAAGGAAGGACAAGACTCATTCGGAATCAAATAAAATAAACGGAATAAATAATGTTCAAAGTGTGCATTGTGAATTTCTGAAACAGTAGAGCTTCCTTCCACCCTGAAGGTCCCCCATATTTTGAAGGTTGGGAGTGTCTTGGTACACCTGTTCCTTTCCAACTCCACAGATCTCTAAAGGGAGCGGGAGGGATTCCTATGAACCAGGATCCCACTTTTCCACTGCTTTCACGGGACATTTGGCACCATCTGGAGAAAAGGACAACTCTCTTTTCCCTCCCCCACCTCCCTTTCCCCAGCGCTTCCTATTGCCCTTTCCGCATCCTCGCTTCATTTGAACAAAAACAAAATAATAAAAAAAAAAACCTACCATGAAATCAGATTCTAAACACACAAAGGACAACCACACTCCCTTGTTCACCCCTCTTTCTACGGGACCCAGATTCTGGCCCTTACTGCTTCTTCCTTCTTCTTTTGCTTTCCTTTTTCAAAGCGTCCTGGTTCTTCTTCGCGTTTGCTTCCTTTCAAAGGGCAAGAGTCGCTGCTGCTGCCTTCCAGTCCAGATGGCCCTTGGGGAGGGGAGCCGAACTCTGCGCCTGGAAAGGGGGCCTGGCTGGTTGCGCCAGAGCGGAGGACGACTCTTCCCCCCCCCAATAGGGTTGCTCAGCCCCATTTTCTGTCCATCCACCCCTCCTTCCCTTGACTGCCTGTCTCTCCCCACCCCGGCATCTCTGGCTCGCACGCTCCCCCCCCACACACACACCGGGCCTCCCCAAAGGGTCCTGGCCCCCCCAAGCAGTTCGGCGCCGTTCTCAGACGGGCCGCAGAAGCGGCACCGAGGTGACCACAGGGTGCGAGTAGTAGACCGGGTGGGGAAAGGTGAGCAGGGGCTGGCTGACCGGCGCGCTGGCCGCCCCCGCAGCCCCCGAGGCCCCGGCCGGGCCCCCGGACCCGTCGGCCCCGGCGCTCTCGTGGTAGAGGATGGGCACCCGGACGATGCGCTGAGCGGCGGCGTGGCTCAGGTTGGCCGCCTCCAGCTCGGCCGCCAACTGCCGCTTCCACTTGTTGCGCCGGTTCTGGAACCAGATCTTGACCTGCGTCTCGGTCAGGTGGAGCGAAGCGGCCAAGCCGGCCCGCTCGGAGCTGCTCAGGTAGCGCTTCAGGTCGAAGGTGGACTCCAGCTGGAAGACCTGGCTGCGCGAGAAGACGGTGCGCGTCTTCTTCTTGCGGCAGGGCGGCTTCTTCTCCGGGCTGCCCGTCGTCTCCGGCTCGCGCTTGGGCCAGTCCTCGGCGCCGCTCTCCTCCTTCTTGGCCTCCTCCGAGTCGCTCTCCTCCAGGATGATCTCGTCGGGGCTCTTGGAGCCCAGCGTCTTCTCGGCCTTCAGCAAGGGCTCCTCCTCCGGGGAATCCCTGTCTGTGCCTCCCGAGGCCGGCGACGAATCTCGGAGGAGGCATTTCTCCACCGACGCTGGAAGAGGAAGCAAAAGCGCACAAAAGGCAAGTCAGGAGCCCAGCCTGGCAACCGCGCGCCCAGACACCCCCACCCACCCACCCAGGGCTCGGCCCTCGCTCCCGTGCCTGGCCCGAAACCCTGTAGCCTCACGACGCTCCCGGGTGCCCAAAGACACCAGGGAGAGAGAAAGGGGGGCACAGGCTGGCACCGTAGGGAACCCTAAGCGAAAAGCCCCCCCATCCACTAACTACGGTACTTTTCCCACCACCACTTTATAGTTTTTGCGGCACATGGAAAACAGAGAAGGTCATAGCTGAGATTTCTGGATTAGCCTTCCCCCCCCCCACCCCAGTCCTTACAAGGATTCCCCCCGTCTCCTTCGCCCCCCCTCAAGGAGATTGCAATCCCGGACACATTTGCTTGGGAAGTAAGACGCACCGAAGATTAAAATCTCCCAGCTCAGGCAATCTCCTAGCCCAATTCCATGGATTCGAGGGGTCAGCCCCTGAACTGGATTTTGG